ACAGTGAAGGAGTTTTAAGTTTTTAATAGAATGTGAAAACTAATGCTACAAGTATTTAACATGAACACTAAAGTTGGTGCAAACATATACAAATAAACAATAACACGTCTGTTGACCCATGAAGGATTACAATAACTTTTCTTGTATTTGCGAATGATATAATTGAATGAATGATTTTTTAGCAATGGGTGAAACTTAAATTGAACACATTTATATTTACCTAAAATGTATCAAAAATGACACACATGAGAATTACAATACAAAAACAATATATATGAGTATTCAGCAGCATTGTAATTTGGTTAATTATGATAAGCATGACGGAAATACATGAGTTAATATATTACCTTGACATAATAAGGTACAAATTACGAAAGGTAAAATAAATTAGTATAAATAAGCGAAAGTTGTTATTTGTAACTTGGTTTGCCTTGTATTAAAAATTATATATTAAATTACTTGTGTTTTTAAAAAGATTATATTTGTCAAATGAATTATTTTGTTTATATTTATCTTTTTAGTATATTACACAAACTTATTATGGTGACATAATTAAATCTAAAAAAGCATGCACATGCTCCTTTTAGAGTTGAAAGAATTATTAAGTAATAAAACCGAGACCAAATAGTTTGTTATAAAAGCCTCTGCTTCTTTTTGCCCACAGATCAGATTCATTGTCCCTAGCTTTGCCTCTCCCACACGCCTTGTTACTCTACTAGGCCCACGTTAGCAGTTATGGAGTCTGACAGTGTCAACACGGCGCTCGGGTGTGTCTCTTCCGGTGTAACGGAAGATTGACCCAGTGACATGTCGCCAGAGTTCACGATCGGAGACCCTATGGAGGAGGCGATCATTCCATAGGTTGTTCTATCAGGAAAAAACTGCAAAAATGATTTAAGAAATTATTTAGGAGTGATCGGATAACGTTGCCAGCGTGGAAGCTCAAATGAGATATATGTCGTAATTGATCATTTGTCCTATCATTTGGTTTTTGTGTATATGTTGGTTGCACAAAAAGAAGAAAACATTAAGGACGTGTGAAGCAATATATTCAGGAGTGATCCGATAATGTTGCACATGGGCTGCTAAAGGCTAATATCCGTATCTGAGCAACTTCTTTTGAAACCTGAAAATAAGCCATGTTAAAAAAAGAAGCATATCAGAGTGAGAGCACATATAGGCTCATTTGAATTTTCAACTGCACATACAATGTTTTCAGACTTTAGTCAAGGTGCATTCACATATATGAAAAATTACTACAAAGCACAACTTATCATTTGCCCATTAGTTTGCTAATCGGTTCTGTTCAGGCCGTTAGGTAAGTGGCATGATGTCACACCAATAACTAATACCTCGAAAGCAGTATGTTCATCAGATTGACATGGACCACAAGAGATCACCCTGAGTGCTAACCACCTGTAAGAGCAACTCTAGCAGACCCCGCAAAAACTTGACCCGCAAAACGCGTTTGCAGTTTCACAAAGATCGCGTTTGCGGGTCGAAAACTAGCGCGACCGAACAGATACTGTAAAACAAACTGTAAAACTAGAATAAAGAGCTCCTTCCTCCAGTCCGGCCGTTGCCGCCCCTTCCTCCAGCCGGCCGCGCCCAACCCCGTCGGTCGCGCCCCGTCGCCCGCAGGCCATGCCCCGTCGCCCGTCGGCCGCGCCCCATCGCCCATCGGTCGCGCCCCGTCCCTACAGGTCGCGCCCCATCACCGCGCCAGTCGCGCCCAGCCTCGCCGGCCACGCCCCATCACCTCCGTCGTCCGCGCCCAGCCTTGCCGGCCACGCCCCGTCGCCTTCGTCGTCCGCGCCTTGCTCTATTGCCAGGCGAGCCGTGCCCCTTTGCCTGCCGCGCCGAGAGGATTCCGGCGGCCAGGCTGAGGTCATGGGAGGACATGACGATGTCGAGCTCGTCCAATTCGAACCGGCGGCGATCGATTGCAGCGTCTAGCGGCCTTTTCCGATGTGCGGTGATGAATTCCGGCGGGTTTAGGGCGGATTCCGGCAAACTCCGCGGCGGCGTGTCTGCTCCGACGAGGTTTGACCGGTATACGGGGCCCCCTATATTCGGCCCTCCAACCTCCAAAGATAAGGGTTTCGGGTGTGCATTTGCAGTGGCCCTTAAAAATTTTACGGGTTGGACTACTTTTACGGTTTCTGTTCTGGATACTTTTTTCGCCCAAACTTTAAAACGTAAAATTTTTACGGGTTTGATCACTTATGCGGGGTCTGCTAGAGATGCTCTAAGGAGCCAAACTGTACTTATCATCCTTTCTAGAGATTGAACTGTCCCTACTCATTACACCAATTTTCTCTCTTTTACTTGGCCATTAGTTTGACTGCACCATGATGATCATGACAAGAAGGGAGTCAGCTGCCAATATCATTATTAACTCATCAATACATTTGTGTCTTTTCTTACCGGAATTATCTTTGCCTAGTTGAACAACTGCAAGATGGGATTCATGAACAAAGTTTAGAAACATTTTTTATGACAAACCGCTACCATTTCTATGTTAGAAATCTCAATGCTTTTTTGTCAAGTGGTTAAAAGGTTGAATGCTCATCTTCCAAATGAAATATACACGTACAATGCCATGACATTTATCCTAACTTGTTCAGTTTCTTTTACCATATGCTCTACCTTTTCTAGGCGCTCCTTTAACTTCAGAGTTGATATGAACCACCGGAAAGCTACCCGGGATACAAGTTTAAAGATGTTAGAGTTGTATTAACAAAAAAGAAAGTAGAATTGAAGATTATGCCATCCGTTTTCTTTCAGTAAGCTTGTGCATAGGTACACGTAGACCTGTAGAGAGAAGTACACAATGGAGCACTGGAAATTAGCCCCTTGCGGATGTCAACATCACACCTATTTACACTGTCAAGGGCCTGACTGGGAAAATAAATGGTGGCAGCAACTTCATTAAAATGAAGAACTTCCCATAAAACATTGTTTGAAATCCACGAGTAGAAGGGGAATCTCCAAAGAAGCCAATAGTCTGTTGATCACAACAGTAGTCTGCGTGATAGGATCATATCGTAGGAGAGAGACAATTCAGCTAGGTCCGAAGGCACAATCTTTTGTTTCTGAAGAAGAAAGCAGTGCACTTGAAATGATCCTGACCAAAATGCGGGTTGAACAAAATGCCAGGGATCTTGGATCTATCTGCACACAAATACTTCAGTAGTCCTGCTCAGAAATCACATACTGTTTCAGACTTTCAGTTTCAGGCCTTGTGCAGAGACTGTTAGGTGGGCAGCATCACATCGGCAGCGCTCGGGAGCCGCTGCCATGGCTGTGATGCCTCACCAACGACATAGCAGGGGAGCTAAAAGTTCGGAAACAGTCTGTTCATCAGATTGACATGGACCAGGGAAGCTCATCCTGACTGCTAACCACCTGCAAGGAACAAAACTGTTGCTATCATCCTTTCTGGGTACTGAAACTGTCACTACTCATTACACCATTTTCTCTTCTTGTACTTTTACCTGGACAACAGTTTTGACTGCACCATGATCATGACAGGGAGTAGGAGTCAGCTGCCAAAATGATTATGAACTCATCCAAGACAGACAGCGGTGTATACTCGCGTCTTCTGTCAGTAGAATTCTCTTTGCCTGCAAGATGATGGGATCCATGAATCCATGATCGTATTCATGAACCAACCCTGATCATGATCCTCACATGTTGTGTTCAGCAGTACCCTGGACGCTATGCTATGATATGCCAGTAGTAAAGGGGAGTTGCCAGCCCATCCATTCATGCGTGTGTGGTTGAGCTCTGGCAGTTAAGCGCCGGCCCAAGAGGTTGCCACCGGCCGGCACCACCGCAAGCACATCACGTCTCCATCATTATTGGCTAATTGACTAGGGCTGCTGGCTAGATGGTGCCAACAGATCTTTGTTAGTGGCAGCACTAGCTGTTAATCTTTTCCATGGCATGTTTCTGCAAGCTGATCCTTTTCTCTTTTCTTTTTGAAAAGGTGACCACTGCTGCAATGCAAGCTGATGATATGATGATACTTTGGATTGGGTTTCTTTTCTTTTTCGGCGAAAAATGATGCTCTGGTTCATGATAAGGTAACAACAGATGCTCTTGGCCCTACTAGTGATTACTATCTCCTCTAAAAGCAACAATAATATTGAGTGGTCAGTATCAGTTCTAGATAAAATACGGATAGAACTGGTCTTAATTCTCAACTGTTCCTTCTTTTAGGCAATGAATTCTCAACTGGTATGACATTCACCGCAAGATGTTAAGCGGAAGAGGTGACCGCTCACCAACTAGAATGATAAAGATTCCAATTTCATCCCTTCTCAGAGGTAAACTAACGCAATGGCTCTTCAGAACAAAAGTACAAAAACACTATACAATTGGGTAGACTAGTACTGTCCAGATCTGTGATAGAGTACAATTTTGCGCGGGTTACAGATCTGTCCTCATCTCTCTCCCTTTATTTCATAAAATATGGAATACATGCCAATTTTTGGATCATGGCACTTGCACATCACCACAGTTTAAAAGAGACCCACGGTCTTGGCTGGAGCTGCCTGTACCAACCGCATGGAGCCATGAACTAATACAAATGATGACAAATCTTAATCATCCACGCAGGATTGTTGTGATAGTCCTACTGCCATTGAGAGTGATTTGGCAACCAACTTACATTAACATTACATTAAGAAAAGTGTAGAGTGTATGCATGTACAGTCACATGCCCTTTCTCTTTGCTGTCTGAACAATCATATGTAGATTGACCAAGCTTGCAGTCTGATTGTGGTTGGTATCATATCATAATAAGATCGTATAATCATCTTTTATAAAACATGTCGAACAAACTCAGCATGAACAATCACAGCAATTGCTGCAGGCAATCTTCTGGCAATGCAATGGAATGGCTGTACCGAGCTGCACATCAACCAGCTCGTGGAAGCAACAAACAAATCATCAGTGTAAGTGGAAAAGGAAAACGGAGTAGGCACCGGCGACCTTCAGAGGAGCAGCACGGCCATGGACTTCAGCCGGCAGGACATGGCGTCGGCCTCCGCCGCCGCGTTCTCCCGGGCGATGCGGCTCCAGCTCTGCTCGCCGCCGGAGACCCGGCACGCCGTCGCGAAGTCCAGGACCTTGCCGAAGATCCTGAACATCTCCACGGCGTAGATCCTGTCCTGGCCGGCGGCGAACACCGCGTTGGAATCCATGGGCGCGTCGGGGTGCGCGGACGCCTCAGTCCAGTGGAGCAGCGGTGTCGAGCCGAGGTTCAGCTCGAACACCTTCCGCACCACCTTGTCTCTGCGGTTCGCCGGGTCACACCATGAGACGCAGAGCATGAACAGCCGGGACGCGCAGCAGACCAGCGCCGGCGTGTAGTCTCGGAGCCGCGGCGGTGGCCGGGACGTCTGGACGACGGACCATGAGCAGGCGTCGAGATGGTAGGCGACGACCGTGTCGGACTCGCAGTAGACGTAGAACATGTCGCCGCAGACGGCACCGGAACATGCCAAGCCGACGTCGGTGGGGAACCCAGCGATCTCGACCCATTTGTCGGTCACCGGATCGTATATCTCGCCGGACACGAGGGGCTCGTCCCATGGCCCTCGGCCACCCACAGCGATGAGAGCTTGCCTTGCCTGAGCTGGCTGCTTCTGTTGCCTGGAAGCCTTGCCGTGACCGTGAGCTGGGACAGTGGAATCAGTGTCCTCGTTCAGTACATCCCTGAGACGGAGCCGCCGGAGCGAGAGCCGGTGCGGGTCCTCGTACACGGCGGAGGTGCCTCCCAGCCGGAACTTGGCGCCGGCGTTGGCACGCCGGACATGCTTCTCAGCGCGGGCGTGGACAATGCTGCGACTGGCAGACATCACGAACACCCCCAGCACCGGCCGTGACCGCGCCGCCCGCATCGGGGAGGTCTTCCGCCATGCGCCGGTGAGAGGGCTGAACACCATAACTCCCTTGTGGGTCTTGGTCTTGACGGAGCCAGCACTCGACCCCCCGGAGCGGCCGCCAACAGCGTAGAGCTCGTCCCCGACGCCGGCGACGGAGAACAAGAACCTACCTTTGAGCGGGGCCGCCCCGACCCGGCGCCACCGGTGCGCGGCCACGTCGAGCGCGTGCACGGCCGTGGCGGCAGCGGACGCGCCCCAGCCACCGTCCGCCTCGACCCCGAACAGGAAAAGCCACGGCGTCGTGGCCGCGCGCGGCCCCTCTCGGCGCAGCCGCAGCAGCTGCGGCGCGACCGTGAGGTCCCTCCACCGCCTGCAGACGCAGCGCGCGGCAAGGAGCGAGGCCAGCGGCAGGCGGCTGAGCACCATCTCCAGCACGTCGTCCGGGAGCGCCGTGAGGGACGGCGCCGCATCCTCCGCCACCGCATCATCCTCGACCCGCAATGCCCGGCCGATGCGCGCGACGGCCGCGGGGCCCTTCTTCCACGAGAAGCACTGGAGCGCGGCGGGGACGCGCTGCTCCTCCCCGCCCGCCTCCGCCTCGCCGTCCCCGTCCCCGTCCGCTGGCGCGCGCCGGCGCGGGGCGGGGTCGACCTCGTCGCAGGCGCAGACGCGGCACCCGCCGGCGCCGCCGAGGGGCAGGCGGAGGCAGCTCCTCCTCCCGCCGGACCTCCCTCGGCGCCCCCCTCCGTCACGCCGCTTGGTGGCGGCCAGGGCGCCGGGGTCGTCGTCCTCGGCGCGCAGCAGGGCGGAGAGGCTGTTGCTGCCGGATCTCCGCAGCGCGGCCGCTCCAGACATGGATAGGTAGGTAGGTGGATCAGAAGAAGAGGCGGTGGTGGGCGGAGGCGGGCGCGCGGAGGTGGAGGAGGACGCCGCGGAGGAGCGCGACGAGGGCCCTGGCGAGCGAGGGGATGGAGAGCATGGCGTCGCGTCGCGGCGGCCCCCGCCCGGTGTGGTGAGGGATTGGTTCTTGGATTGGAGGATTATGTCGTCGGGGAGACGAGAGGGGAGTGGGGACGGTTAGTTGGAGTGGGGGTTGGGGAAAGTGCGGTGGGGCTCGTTTACGCAGGGGCAGGAACGGCTCGGTTACCGGTGGCGGTGGGGTGGGAATGGAAACGCGCGCGTCGGCGGGATTCACGGGGCCTTTTCCGGATGGCGCCGCGGGCTCTACTGCTGCGGTGCTGCCGGCGTGTAGCCCGTGTCCGGGAGCGAGTCGTGGTGACCGGGTGACGATGGTTTCGTCGAGGAAAAAGTCCAAACCAAACCTTGAACTCATATGGCTTAGCTAAATCAAACCCCAAAATTCCAATCCCTAAAATCAACACATTCAACTTTGGAATCCCGGCCTATTTTGAACCCTGCATCTGTTTGGCGCACTGGGAATCAACAATCCTGACATGGATTACAGTCTAGTCTCACTGACAGTGTGACCCTACCGGTCATATCCGTCCTCCTCTGTCTCTCAAATTCCCTAATCTCTGAATTAAATGGTCAAGCTAGCACACAAGGAGCTGCAAGCTAGCACACAAGGAGCTGCAAGCTAGCACACAGTGCGGCCGGTGTTTCCCAATCCCTCAACTAAATCAGCTAGCTAGCACATAGTACGGCCGGTGTTCTCTACTGTTCTGCCGTGTTCGAGGAGATGCAGGAGCACAAGGGCAGCCGTCGGGCTCGCAGCCAAGATCAGCGAGCTGGGATGGGTCAAGCTCGAGGCCGCCATGGCCAGGCTCCAAGCAGAGAACGCCCCCGCTTGCGGGCCGAGCTTGAGGCCGCCATGTCGAGCTCGTCGAGCAGGGAGCGTCCCCGCTTGTGGGACGAGCTCGAGGCCGCCATGGCGAGCTTGTCGAGCAGGGAGCGTCCCATGCTTCGCTGGCGAGCTCCGGCTCGTCGCGAACTCTTAGACTAGGCATCCCGGGGTGGTGTTGGGGATGGGAGGACTACCGACGTGGCTGCTGGTTCTCTGGACGTGGGCGTGCGTTACCAGTGTGCTCATGATTCGAGGGGGACCTGTCGTGGCTGTTGTTGCGCTGGACGCGTGCGTGCATCGCCGATGGTGCTGGGGATGGGAGGGCCGTCGCCATGGATGCTGCTTCTCTAGACGCGAGTGGGTGCCGCCGGTGGTGCTGAGGATGGGAAGACTGTCGCCATGGCTGCTGCTTCTCTAGATGCGGGTGGGTGCCGTCGATGGTGCTTGAGATTGGAGGGGGCACCGTCGTGGCTTTTGTTGCTCTAGACGCGGGCGTGCTCGCGAACGGAGGTGGAAGATGACAGGTGGGCCTCTTTTGTCAGTGAGAGAAACAAATAATTTAATTTAGAAATTATTTATTTTCCAGGTGCCAATCAGATGCAGGGTTCAAAATAGACCGGGATTCAAAAGTTGGGTGTGCTGATTTCGGGGATGGAAAGTTTGGGGTTCGATTTAGCTAAGGCCTGCAAGTTCAAGGTTTGTTTTAGGCTTTTTCCTTTCGTCGATGAGCTCAGACATGCATGGGGTTCGGCCGTGCAGGCAGGTGTACTTTTTACTACTTGCATCAACCGGTATTTTTAGGGCGTGTTTGGATGACTGCCTCGCACCTGGCTCGCACCCGCCGTGCAAATTTCAGTGTGATTGGTTCCCTGCGCGGCCTCCTCAGCTTGGCCCGGTCGATGCAAAAGGAGCCCGCTCAGCCAGGCTGAGGGGAACGTAGAAATCGGGCGTATCCGGGAGGCTGGCCATCCGCACGTCGAACGCAATCCTATTTCTCTCTCCCACACATCCGCACACCAACCCGCCGCCGTTGCCGTCTGAGCCCCCGCCGGCGCAGCTGGTCGGAGCTCTCTCGCCCGCCATCGGTCCGAGCTCCGTCGCCGGCGCTCCTCCACGGCCACGCCGGGGGCTCGCTTCCCCGCCTCGACTCGCCGGGCTCCACCGGCGCGGCGGCGCCTTAACGCCCCCAAACTTCGCCATAGCCGCGCACACCCAGCCCTGCGGACGAGATCGATGCCTCCACCGGCCTGGTCGATTTTGTCCGTAGTTTAGACCACTCCCAATGCAAAGGTGCTTAGATGAGGTGCTAAGTGCATTAAATACCTTAGCAACTCAAGTCCCCAATGCATAGGTGCTTAGCTTGTTGTTGCTAAGCACACTTTATTTAATGAGTTAGCACCTAAAGTCTTTCATGCATTGGCCAAATTATTTCATTTAAGTGGTTTGCCTAGGTTTTCGCGCTTGGCATTGGTTCTTCCTGGGGTCACCAAAATACTCTCTCCCCTCCTTAAATGTTGTGCCATGTCACTTTTTTGCTTATGTGGCATGCTTAGCACCTGTCCACGGTGAAGCACTGGGAAGGGCCTTATATTTTCAGTAGATCTAGCCGCTGATTCATCTATGCGCAGATGCATGTCTTTTTCGTATTTGATTTTGATGACTACCTGTAAGCTCATACCGTAGCCTTGTTCTGTATAGTTTGTGATTTGCTGTCGCGAGATGTTCTCGATTCATCTGTGATTTCTCTAGGATGATAGTTGACAACATGTAAGGTTCTGGTTATTACTGCAGTGATTCGTATATCTAATTAGTACCTGCAGTCTGATTGCTTCAGGTTTAATCCAATCTCATTAAAAGCATCTTTTATTGGAAGAAAAAAGTTCACATAATTCAACTCAAATGCAGTCTACCAAACAACATCTACTGTCTATAGCATCTCTCATGCATCCATAACATCTACACCCCCTTAGCAGCGCAATGCACACGATGAATTCACACAAGGATTCCTACCCCCGCGTCGCCAGCCCCTGGCGATACGGGGGGCGATCTACCGCCGCCGGCCTTAGGCCTCCGCTCCTCTCTCCCCCGTCCTGCCGCCGCCCGAGGCCACGCCGGCGTTGCCTGGCCAGTGACGGTAGCGGCGGGGCCCTCCCCCTCACGCGGTGGTGGCGATCTCCTGTCGTCGTCGGCGGCTCATGGATCGGCGGTGCACCGGCGGCAAGGAGCAGTGGGGCGCCCGGCGGCGAGTGTGACGGCAATGACAGCGCAGGCGCGTTCTCCCCGCGGTTGAGGAGCACCTGTGGCGGCGGCCCAGATCGAGGGCCTCGTCCGCGGGCCAGCAGATCTAGAGGGCGTCTACAGACGGGCATGGTGGGCCTGACGACGCCGGCTTAGGCACCGTGGTGGTGCCGTGGCCGGTCAGGCGGCGGCGGCCTGGATCCATCATCTAGTCCTCGACAAAGATGGCGGCGATCTGTGCACGAGATGCTTCATGAAGGTCATTTGAACAGATCAGGGTGAAAACTTGCTTTCGGCTTACCGCCAAAGCCGGCGGTGGCGGCATTATTTTGCGACATTCCCTTCTTGAAGGCATCGCAGAGGAGAGTTTCAAGGTCATTGCCTGTTACCTTCGGGGGAAATCCTAGATCAGTTGATCGGAAGATGGCGGCGTTCTTATGTCGTTCCCCCCTTGGGGGCGTCGTTCTTGGAGGTGTGCACGGGCTCGAGGGACCAGCGAACCGCATATTTGGTGGAGCGGTGCTTCATCCTACACATTGATGGCGACGGATCTCGACGGCGTGACGCAGTGCATATTCGGCGTCCGATGTGCGAGGATGGACTCGTGCAGGAGGACAACGCTGTCTGGCGTCGTGGTGGCGTTGATGACAGAGAGACCTGGCATGGTAGATGCAACAGTACAACTCTGAAGATGGATTGGTGGCAGGTGGCTGCGGCGGCCTCATACCCGGCAGGCGTCCTGGTTGAGGAGTGCGCCGGACTGGTGGGTGCCCCATACCCGGCAGGCGTCCTGGTTGGGACCTCAGGTCATAGATGTTAGGTTTGGTTGCGAGATATGTTTGGTATTAGGCCCAGACTATCAGCATCCCTACATCAACTGGATAGGAGTAGCGACAGATGTTGCCTAGACGGTGGCTTTAGTCTTACTGTTGTATGACTTTGTATGGTCTTATGTGAATAATTAATAAAGTGGCTACATGCGTCGTCCAGATGCAGAGGCCGGGGATCCTCCTCCATTTCTAAAAAAGACAAACGATCCACACACGACGAGGTCCCCTGCACCATTGGATTGCCTCCTAATCCTATGATTGGCGATTACCATAATATGGTTATGGTTGTTGGGGAACGTAACAGAAATTCAAAAAAATTCTACGCATCACCAAGATCAATATATGGAGAGACTAGCAACAAGAGAGAGGGGAGTGCATCTATATACCCTTGTAGATCGCGAGTTGTAACATCCCAAAGTTCTAAATTTTGGAATGTTATAAACAAATAGATTGTTTTGATTGATTGTTTGATTGTTGTGTGATTGATTGAAATTTGAAACTTTTTGAAAGTTAAATGAGAGGGGATAAAAGGACTTTCCCAAACTTTCATTTTGCATTTTATGACCTCCGTGAATTCAAATTCTTTTCATCACAAAACCCTGGAGAGAAGATGACATGACTTCTTCCATTTATTTAAATGACAAGGGGTGTTGAAAATATTTGAATTTCATTTGGAAAATATTTCCAACCCAGGAACTTTGTGCAACTCAATGGTTTTCACGAGCGAAGATAAAATGAATTCTTCAAAACATATGAAATATGAGTTGGGAGTTTCAAAGAAATAAATTCAAAGTTCTTTTGAATTTATTTTTCAATTTGGAGTTATTTGAGATTTATTCAAATTATTTTTCTCCAAAAATAAAATATATGGAAAATAGCGTAACATGATTCCCTACAATAGAAAATTGGAGATAAATAAATTAGAATCATTTTGGTATTTTTAAAATGATTTTCGTTGGATTTTATTAGAGCAGCAGCAGTGT